TGGCTGCTTTTATAAGTACTACAGAAGAATTTATTGAAAAGGAACCTCTTCTTTATTTTTTAAGAAGAGTGACTCCTCAATTGAAATGGGTATTTCAAATTTGATATTAAATTTGTTATGAAGGATTGTTTCTGCCTCTGGTAAGGCTGTTTCTTTATAGAATTTGGTTATTTCAGAATAGTTTAGAGAATTGCCTCATGTGCAATCAAAATATGTAATAACTCGAGCTAGAAAGTTGGTATCAATTAATTTTGCTGTAAGAAATTTGATGGCTTGTTGTTTATCCATTTTGTCAATATTGTGATTTTGAGCAGCAGTATTGTAATATATAAATAAATATTAATAAAAATAAAAGCTTCGTCATTTAGAATTAGTTTTGACAGCATTAGAAGAGCAAGTATACTCTTCTGCCTTTGTTGCAAGTTCATCAAGAGTTAAATTAAAGATTGGTTTTGTGAATGTGGCTTTATGTTTGCCTTTAATATAGAATATAGATGCATCAAGAAAGGGTTCATTCCATGTTTCAGTATCTTCTTTGGGATAGGTTTTGTAAGATGTTTCAAATATATCTTTGATAAGTATAGATGAGTTATGTGTAGGTTGTGGTATGAAGGTTTTCTTTGAATTAGTATCAGCTTCTTTTGTTTTTCTTTTTGTATCAGTTGGTTCAAGATAAGGACATTTAGAGTCTGTACAAGTAAGTACATGATACTTGGCATGTCTAAAAGTTTCATGTTATCATTCTTGAAGATTAGTTGGTTTTGTGAATTCGATATTAGTTGGCAAAAGATTTTTTAGATATGAGATAAAATATTGTCTAAATTTATATTTAAGGTAGTTAAATACTTTAGTTTTGTTAATTGTATTAGAAAATTGTCAGCTATATAATGAGAAGGCTTTTTCAAACTATTCATTAAAATAACTAAGTGAGTTTTTAAGTGATGGTATGTTATATTTGTCAAGGAAAAGGGATTTTGGAAGATTGAAATTCAGTTTGATGTTGAACTGATTATCCATTTTGATAGAAAGATATTGTAGTTCTTTGTCAAAATCAGTAGCCTCAGATGTTATTTTAAACCTTTTAGGTCTAAGTTTAATATTTTTAGCAAATTTTGTATAGTTGATTGCTTGATAGTTATTGGAAAGATATAAATGTAAGTGAGCAAGATTGAGACAAAATTGTAAACAGTTCTCAGTTTTAATTGGTGGGATTGTTGCAGGAAAGACAAATATTTCAGAGTAATTGAGTTTAGTAAAGAAAACTATTGTGAAAATATAAATAAGTTTTTTGAAGCTTTCTTCTAGAATATTGAAGAGAATTGTTGTAGCTTTATCTGTTTCAGAATTGTGTTTTTGGATTAAGTCAATAAGGAATTTTGGTCTAGTATCAGCCATTTGTCTAATCAACAAATAGAAATTAGCTTTAATTATATATTTAGTTTCTGTGACTTCTTTAAGGATTTTATCAGAATAGAAGTTGTATAGATGTTCTTTAAGGAAGTTAAAGAGTTGATGTAATATCTCAGTTTCTAATTTTGTATGGTTCTGCATTTAATCAGTAACTGAAAAGTTTGCTAACCAATCAAATGATGGGTTAAGTTTAGATCTTGCTGCTTAGTTGTAGGATTGTTGTTGTTCGTTATTATTTGTTTCATCTGTAGTAGAAGTAAGAGATATAAGTTTAGAAATAAGAGGATTTTTGATGATAAATTGTTTTTGATATGGGTTTAGTTGTTTTTTGTTGATTTTATTGATTTTATTTTGTTTTAATAATCCTAGAAATTTTTTGAAAGTTAGAATTTTCTCTTTATTAGATAATGTAATAAATTTAATTACAAGAGCAGTTTGAATTTATATAGGAGTAAGTGCTTTAGTTTGAATAATAGGTTTGAGTTTAAGTTTATAAATACATTTAGAATGTATTGGAAATCTTTTAATAATAAGAATAGATTTATCAAGAAATGAATGTGTATTATTTTCTAAGAAAGCATATAAGATGTTTTTATTTTGACAAATAATACAAGTATATGTATGATGAGAATAGGCTTGGATTTGAGGATTTTGTTTTGAACTAGATAAAGTTCCTTATTGAGTTATAGAATAGTTTAAAGGGAATAATAATGTGGAAATAGTAGTTGTTTTTGCAATTGGTGATTGAGGAATAATTTCTTTAAGTTGTTTGACTTGTTTAGGTGTAATATCAATATCTATATACATGGATTTTTGAGAAGAAGAAGAAGGAGTTGCTTGTCTGAATGAGATGTTAAGGTTACTGGAGGTAAAGAGAATATGGAATTTTTGACAATAACAACAGACAATAGTAGGTTGAGTAGGAGTTTTAAAGTAGTGAAAAAATTTAGCGATATTATATTCAGATGAATTAAATGCAAATAACATCACTTTAAGTTGTATAGATTGCACTTCTCTAATCATTGTACCATAATGATCATTATACTTGTTATGAAAATAGTCAAGATCAAAATGATCTAGATCTTGGAAAGTCAAAGTAGGCATTCTATTTGATAGAGAAAGAAAAATACTACAGGTATACTTAAGGATGAAAATTAATATTATTTAGTAAAATTTTTTGTTATTAGCTATTGAAGTTTTTAATATATAAGATTTATAATAGTGAGAGTTGGCTTGACAGAGGTATGATGTAATACTGTGGCTACTGCGACTGCTGCAGCTTTGTATAACCTTGAGAACAATTTTGTATAAGCTATATAACACAAGACGTGGCTGGTGTGACAAGTGTGGCTTAATGTAACAATTTAGTTACATGTCCCAAAAAAGTCTTATAATAGTGTACAAAGTCAAATTAGTAAAAGAAGAAAAACTAATAAAAGATTGTATGCTATTTTAAGTAATATTGATTGGTTTATTATGAAAATGATTGTAGTAATGATTTAATGTTACACAAAAATCGTGTAAGAGAAAAAAAGTTGGGGATAAATGAAAAAGAATTTTTAAAGAGTTTTGTAAGAGAGTTAAAATTATTTTTTAAAGTATCTCCGTTAATATTAAGCCTATTGAGTTCATTTAGACCTTGTTTTGATCGGAGAAATGAGTTCTACAATATTTCTTAGGACTATATAGTAGATTGTAAAGTTAGTTATCAAAAAATAATTAAAGAAAGTGTTTAGAAGTCCAAAGACTGTTATTGCAGTATTAAACTACGAGTTTGAGAGCTATCTCTTTAAAACTTTTAGAATATATGTAAAATTAGTAGCTGAACAAGTTTACTTAAGATGCTAAAGTTAGTTATCTTAATAAAATAACCAGGGATTAATGATTTTATTACTGACAAATTTTTAGTAATTTTGTATAAAAATGATGTATGAAAAGAGTTTTAAATTGTGATTCTTTATTTTAATAATATAGTTTTGCAACAAACTAACATTTATATAAGATTACAATAATATGTGCCTACTAACCTTAGTTTATCAATTAGACTATTTACTCAATCACAAACAGAAGCAAAAAATATTACTACAAAACTCCTATATAAGCTGTTTTAAAAAGTTTATAAACAAATATAAAAACCATATTGCATAAAACTAACATAATAAAAAAATGATAACATTCTACAATATACCAAAAATTAACAAAAAAGATCTATACAAACTAATCATAATGATATATACTATATTAACAGATATCAATTACATAGTACAACTTGCAATTTATATGGATTATCAAGTTTAAAACATATTGATCCAAACACTTGTACATATAGTTGTTAGTAGAATTACTGAATTATGGCATTACAGCATTTTAGCATGTGCTAAAATTAATTACAGTATAGTATCTAATTGTCATAAAACTTTTGTGTCGTAATGCCACAATGCCATAATACCATAATGCCATAATAATGCCATAATGCCATAATGCTGTAATGCTGTAATTCAGTAATTCTACCAACAACTATAGTCATAACATGCAATTTTTGTGCCACTTTACAAGCATCAAATAAGTAGTTGCACAATGTTGTTATACAAAACTATGAACAAGAAAAATCTACACAAACATCATTTCAGTTACAATAAACTATATTTTTCATTGCAATTCATTCCTGGTAAAAAGAAAATGACTCTTTATAAAAGAAGTCAATAGTACTTTTAATCTGAATATTGGTTTTAAATTTAATGACTGAACCTAAAAATTTATTAATGAGGACAATGTCTGACTGCTATATAGTTGGTTAGCTAGCATCATTTAGTTTCGATGAATCTGACTTAAAATTCTGGAGTCTTGCAAAAAACATTAAAATTTATGAAACATATCTACATGATCGACAAATTCTTTCAATTAAGTCTTTGACAATCATTGATTATCATTTTATCTGACTGATAAAAAATTTGATGAAAAAAATTAAAAATTACAAAATATTTAACATTAAGGTCTTTAAATTTATATTGGGTCACTAATTTTTGTGCCAAAAAAATTATTTTTACTATTGTTTGTTATTGTATCTTTAATTTTAAAGATGTATGTGCTTATTTATAAGTTATTTTTTTTTTACTGAACTATGAATAAGTTACACAGACTAATCAATTCCAATACTTTCATACAGAGACATAGTACCTACCTTTTAAAGTATTTTTCGGGTGCTACACAAGATCACGATGAAGGATAATCCAATCATATATTAAGAATTGCACACATCATTTCACTCTTAAGTAAGTTCCTAGTATGGAAATCATGAGATTAAGTCACAAGGATCAATCATCCAATCAGATCAAAGATGTTATACATCCATATCTGAATCACCTATAAACTATACACTACATTGTACATTGTACAAACTCCATTTCTGGTATACATAATGGTAAATAAATATCTAATTAGTAAATAATTTCAGGCTTGAAAGTATTTTAAAGTTTATATTAAAGTATTTCGATACTATATATTACAGCATTACAGCATCACAGCATTATGGCATTACAGCATTACGACATTATAGCACAAAAGAATTATGACAAAAAATATAGCATATGCTGTTGCCATATTAATTTACAAAACCAATTCTACCAACAACTATACTTGCATACCACTTGGTCATATTCTACATAAAATTAATTTATAGCTTAACCATTAAATACTTTATAGTTACCCTACAAACAACATTTTATACTATCAAATCTAGGTAAGTTTTAACCACTCTAGTAGGTTTAAATTTTAGATAAATTAGATAGATAACAGTTAGTTTCTTTCTATAGTTTGAGCTTTACCTTGTAACAAATTTGTAATTAAAATAGATTTGGTAATTTATATCCAGAGAAGCTTCTGAAGACATCTTTAACAAATTAATAAAGATATGAGTAAAACCTTACTTTAACTCCAAAAAAAAAAAAAATAAGTAATAACAATTATTAATATAAAACTAATTACTTAACCTATAATAAAAAAAAGATATTATTTTTTAAAAACTATAACTTTATTAAATTTCATTATTTATATTTTATATTCATTAAAAAACAATTAAATTTGTAATTAATTACTTACAATAGTTATGTATCTAGTAAACTAAAACATAAAAATAATTTTAAATCCTAATTTAATATATAAAATCTTAGATTAAAATAATAAAAGAAAATAAGAATTAGAATAAAGATACATTAAAAAAAAGATTTAATAAAAAAAACTATTACTTATCTATAAACAATAATTTATTTACTAAATCTAATATATCTGTTTTGACTTAACTACAATAGGTTATATGAAAGTTAAATTAGATTAATAACAGATTTACTAAATTCCAAGATAATACTATTTAAAAAAATGTTAGGATGTAAAAATTAGATAATTTTTTATTAATTATTTTTTGTAAAAAAATATAAATATGTTATACTAAATTATTTTATTATAAAAATATATTTTATAAAAATTAATCAATAAAAAATATCCAATTTATAAAAATTTAGAAGTATAAATTATAAGTGAATAAGATTGTTTTAATAATAAAAGGCAATTTACTTAATAAACAATTTGCTAAAGTTTTTTTTTAATTTATAATTTAATTTTAATTGCTTGTAATTTGTAATGTAATAACTAGAATTAAATAATTCTGATACTATTCAACTTGCCTTATTAAGACAAATCAAATATTATTAAAATTATTTGATTCTAAATTGCTGGATCACAAGATATTATGTAAGTTTTGATTGGTACATGTATAATAGTTTATTAGTTTTTTAACTTTAATTTAATTTGAAATATTATATTATTTGATTCATCTCAATGTGGTAAATTAAATGATACTAAAATTATTTAATTATAATTACTATATCATATAATATTAATTATAAAAGTAACTACTTAAGCAATGCCACAAAAATTTTATACTAACATAACTATAAGTTACACATTCAATCAAATTCAATTATATGACATAAAATTTTATTATTAATTTTTACTTATCACTATTATTATATATAACTATTCATATATAGAGCTATGTATAAAAATGCAGATATATATATATATGTATATACACATATATACATATATAATCAACCCCAAACTACTACTCAATTCTTTAATTCTATACTTACAACTATTTTAGCCAACCAACCTTTTAAATTTCTTGGCTGTTAGTTTACACTTAACAACAAACAAACTGCACAAATTAAACTAATTCAAGAAGAATCATTCCAACTCATAAACATTGCTAGTACCAAAAAAATCACAGATAAACAAATAATTTATATTATTAACATAGTTATTATTCCTATTTTAGAATACCAAATATACAATTTAGTCCTTTCTTATTCTGTATACAACAAAATTCTAGCCAAATATTTAACTGTAGCCAAACATAAATCTTATCTAGCCTATTCTATCACAAATAGCATTATGCTTAACCTATTCTTATATAATATATACAATATCTGAAACATTTAGCTTTAACATCATATATCTAACTTCATGTTACAAATTAACAATCCTGATTTACTAGAAACTTCTACACATATTTGACTATAACAATTACAAAATAGTCTCTGGTTAACTACAAACATATTACAACACCCCTAATCTAACATTAATGGACCTAACAGATATACTTTAATCTTTAAAATTATTCAACTTCTTATATATATTAACATATCTATAACAGCTAATAATAGTGTATCTTGGCCTAATACTATATAATACAATCTTCATTTATTTGAACCAATTATGTCCTCCTATTCCCAATATACTACCTTTAAAAAAAACTTAAAAAACTTAATATCTTGTATCTTGAACAACTCTGCACTGCAGACAATACTACCCTACTCCAATGGAATCATCTTTTACTTCACTTAGTACAGCTACTCAAAGAACATAAGCCATCTTGGTTTACATGTCTAGAAAATACTGTAATAACTAACAATAGCTCTAGAACACTACTTCCACAATATCAACAAACTAGACACAATCCTTTTGTTTACAACTCTCAATATATCTCTAAAAAACTTAAATCTTGGTTACTAACATAAAATAATAATGATATTATTATTGACAAAATT